TTAGGAAGAATCAAAGTTATAAAGGGGTTACCCTTAAGCCAGTCTTCTTCCCAATCTATAGAGGCCACTCACCTCATTAGTCCGATGTCCACAGTTCTCACAGTTGGTGGCCATGATGATAACTTCCTTAAAGTGGGGGATTTCTGGAAGATGGAGTTAAGGAAATTTGCTTCCAAGAGAGCAAGACCACCCTCTGGGGAAAAACAACGCCAAACTGCACATAGACATTGGACATAGGACTGTAACTTCTCACACGGGGCAACAAAACTCTAATAGTCTCCAGAAGAGGGCTGGTTGAAGACATGGCTCAGGCCAGATAAAGGAGCCTCAAGGCCATGGCCTAATTTTCTCTTTGAACCCAATGGTAAGGTACACAACCTAATCAAAGACAACATCCTCCTCATATCTTGGAATAAAGCATGGACTTTTCTTGAAAGAATGTTCTCAGCCTGAATGTAACCTTCATGCCTTAGTCAGATGAAGAACAACCCAACTGCTTGACAAAAGATACGTACTAGCTTCATGTTGGTCTGAGCAGGGGCATTGCATTCTGGGCAATTTGTGTTGAACTGGAGCACCTGAAACAAAATTCAACAACTCAGAGTGAGCCTTCCAGGCAGGATGCTCAGTCTACAGACATTCACTTGGCAGGCTGGTGGTCACCCATGTTCATGGCAATGAAAAGAAAAAATTAACAGCATCAGTCTCAGCCCACAATGCTGCTCCTTTCTCATAGGAACCAACATGACTCACTTCATTTCTGAGATCTTCCTCTTCTGGCTTCTCTTCTGGTGCTTCTGCCTAAAACAGCAGAGATGCAAATCACAAGTTGACAAGTAGACCTCTCAGCCAATGAATATTTCCCTGCACCTTGCCTCAGTGGGAGAAAAATGCCCTCACTCAATTATATCAGATGCCTACTCATGAATCAGAAAGAAAAGCCAGAAAGTAAATCTTCAATCAAGGGAAGAAAAGGCCTCAAGACAGGATCACAGGTGCTTGTATCCTTTCTGTGAAGTTTACCCTAAGTCTTGACATGAACTACATGAAAGGCACAAGCAAGCTAACAGAGGGCAGTAACAGCAACAAAATAAGTTTCCACTGACTCCAAGCAATCCTGGAACCAAGATAATTCCAGAGCATTTTTCTGGCTTCTTCAGTTCACTTACCTGGAGCCCCAGCATCTCTTCCTGCTGTAAGGTCCGGTTGTAGTGTGTGATCACCAGGGCATCATCTTTCCGGGGAGCATGTGGATTTTCTACAAAGCTGTTCCCTGAGGGATCATCAATGATCTAATAGATGAGTGAAGAGAGAATAATTCCAACATGAAATCATACAACCCTCCACCTACCATAAGATCACAATGGAAAAATCCCAGTTTTAATTTTCTCTCCTCCCTTAAATGAAAAGCAACTACAGTCCCTCAATACTTACCAGAGTGAAAGGGGAGGCCACTTTCTTTAGCTCCTTCAGTTTGATGATGAATTCATCAATTCTTTCAGCTACGGCTTCTTCTTTTGCCTGTTATGAATAAAGTAAAAGCAGCCTCAGCCCTGGTGGTATACTTCATAAGACTGAAGTTTATAGGTGCTGCCAGGAGTTTTATTTCCTCACTCATTCCACCAGTTAGTGCAGGTACTCATACCAGGTTAGGGATAAAACAACAATTAAATCACAGTCCTCTGATAGAGCTCTCTAGCCAGTCAGGGAGACAGATGACTAAATATTTTACATTATTTCTGTAATAATAAATATAAGATATATTAGAATGCCCAGAAGCATAGATAATTCAAGGGGATCAGAAAGGGTACTTCTGAGACAACATTACATTGTCTGAGATGAGACCTAAATATACACTAGGAGACAGACATTAAAAGGACAAAAAGTACAATATATACAACATCCTGGCAGTTACACCCCCAACTGTATGCTTGGCCAAAAAGTTCCCCCACAATCAGCTCACCCTTCTTGTGGGTTGGTCCTGCTCCAAGCCAGAGATAGCACGGTTGATCAATCCTTCAACAGTGGTCAGAGCTTATAAATAACAACAAAAGACAAGACTTAGCTCTGTTACCAAGTGCCTATATGACTCTAAGCAATTCACCTGAACTCTCGGGACCTTGATTTCCACATCTGTAAAAGAAGGCCAGCTACTAGGTTCCATTCATTTCTGATAACAGTGATGCTAAAATTCTAAAATAAAAACAGTATGGTCTTACCATTACCTTTTACTACCCTAAACTGTTTTACCTAAGCCTTCTGTTCATGTTAAACCAATGAAAAATCACAATGATTTCATGGTCAAACTCATACACAAGCCACTAGACCTAATATCAGGTGTTCTGAAAGAAAATGTGTAGGATTCCAATATATGTGATTCCAATATATCCAATATATGTGTCCAAATCTTTAACAGTCCTAATCTTAAACTTACCTCCCTTCTGGCTGAAAGCTGGAATTTCAAAATCCAGCTCAGGTATCCTGGTGGTGGCAGAGTCGGTCTTCACCACTTCTCTGTTCATGTCCTGGGCATAAAAGAAACTTGGTCCAAACATGTCAGCAGGACAGCTTCATCTAAAGAAATAACCAGACTATCCCCCTCCATCAGACCTCAACCTAGTTGTTTCTCCCTCTCTCCACCTGGGAGGGACCAGTCAACTCCTTCAGAACAGTATACATACAAATGGTATGAGCCAGACTGCCTAAATGGTGAGAATACTACCCATAGTAACTCCTGCTCATTTCATAATCTGACAAACTCCCACTTTAACAAATCTTATCTCATGTAAGATGACAGTAACACCCCTTTTTACAAAGGAGGGAACTAAGGCTTAGCTTTTGGGGATTTACTCTGGGTGCAATGACCTGGGACAGAGATCTGACTCCAGTCCCCATGCTCTGTTTGGGATAGTGAGGACCTGCTTTAGGTTCCTCTCACCTCCAGGCCCCTGACACTCAAAGCATAGCGCACTCCTTGGTCTTGGATCCTGCCCGCCGACTGTATCTCCGTGTTGCTCCAGCCACAGTGTTCGCAGGAAAAGGAGCTCACGATTATTTCTCTGAAGAAGGGGATCTTCGTGAGCAAAAGTCGCGTCATGCCCTGGGGAAGAAAAAAGCAGGGAAGGAAGTAATGAATGAATTCGCGTTCCCGGCACTTCTCCCGGGTGCGCCTCTGAGTTCCGGACTGGACCCACCAGGCTAGTGGCCGACCCCCTTCCTCGCATCTCCTAAGCCCGACACTCCTGCCTCCCGAAACCACGACCCCAGCCTCACGTTGCGGTAACAGTTCATGCACAACGACTCGATCTCGGTGGGCTGCTGCTCCTCGTCCTCCGCGCTGATGGGCCGGAACAAGGGCCCCGCGGAGGGCGGCTGGGCCGGGGCGGCCGAGAGGGCGGCGGCAGCCCCCGGGGGCCCCGGCTCTACAGCCCCGCTGGCCGACATCACCTCACGCGCAGCCGACGCCTCGGCTTCCGGCTTCTGTTGCTCTCGAGGCCCCACCTCTTCCGCTGCTTTAGATGCCCCACTTCCGCTAGCTGCCGTCCCCGCCCCCCATCCCATCCCCGCGCGCCCTTTCTTAAAGGGGCGGCAGACTCTGGACCCTGGGGTAGCAGTGTCTGACAAGGTTTTCCGGTTTCCGGAATTACTGGGACTTCCTGAACTTCTATAGTGAGCAGGATACACTTCAGCTCGGCCGTCACTTTCCTCAAGAGTTGCTCTCAGATGTAGGACAGTTTTTTCGCAATGCATTCATTGCACAAGAAGCCCAACTAGTGGTCCATAAGTCTGACTAGGAGAGCCATGTTGGGAAGGGGACTGGCCTGTCCCTGGGAATCCTGGAGGAGGTGCGGTCATAACTGGACTTGTATCTATCTATTGTTGGACCAGACGCTGCTTGGACTCCAGGACCTCTGTTAGGCTCTATGTCCCGCTCTCGGATTGCTCAGTTTCTTCCCTTGTCTCAGTCTCCCAATCCCTCGTTCCGTTTGTGCTCTTCTCTAGCCCTAATTTCTTCCCTTTTTAGCACCTCCGCAAATTCTAGTCTCAAAATCATAACCATTATTTTTACTCCCAGTCCCTCATCCCCACCACATTCAACTCACGTCTATGTATTTCCCACAAAAACACTCTTTTTTTTTTCCTTCCCCTCCCACCCCCCCAAGCTTTTCTCCTTCTCCCTACGCTGGGACCACACCCTAGTTCTGTAGCTGAAAGTGGCTAAGTCCTGGTGTCAGGGATGACTAGTCTGCTGGCATGAAGAACCCAGATTCATTTAGATTTTGCTGAGAACCCTGCATAGGCCAGGTTGAGCCATGAGAAAAGGGTGTGTTGGACAGCAGTCCAAAAGAGATGGTGTGTGTTTACCCTTTTCTCTCACCCCCAAGTTCATAAATCCCAGTTGATATAGGATACCTCTGAGTGAGTTGAGTGTGTGTGAATTGGAGGATTAAGAGTTTGTGGGGCTGAGGATGTGGCTCAAGGGGTAACGCGCTCGCCTAGCATGCCCAGGGCACTGGGTTCAATCCTCAGCATCACATAAAATAAAGATGTTGTGTCCACCGAAAACTGAAAAAGAAAAAAAAAACTAACTCTCTCTCTCAAGAAAGTCAGTCCCAAAAAGACCTTTCAGATTCTGGAGCAGTAGGAACAAAGGGACAGGCCACTTCCAGAGTCTCAGGTCCACCAGGCCACAGCTTCTGCAGTGACAGCCTGTATTCCATGCATACCACCCTGTAGTAAGCAGACTGTTGAACAATACAGGTGCAGAGGAAGGGCCTTTAACCCAGCCCTCACCCCAATGTGACACACATCCGTTGTCTAGCCAAGAGAGCTGAGGCAGAACCCAGCCAGAACCAGGCCTTTTTTGACAGACCATGATTGGGAGGGATTCCATGAGAAAAAGCAGAAAGGGATTGGAGTGAGTGATGTATGTGCTTTGGGAATGGTGATGAGGTCGCTGCTCTGAGACATGGTCCAAAAGAGAGTCACACCAGGCCAACTTTCATCATAAGCATCTATTTCTTTTGAGCCAGAAGTCTAGATTTTGGCCTGGCAGTTAGGAAAGAGGGGCTGGAAATGAAGAGGACATATAATACGCTCCAGAAAGGGTTTAAGAAGACCCCACAGCTTGAAGGGTTCAGCCTCTTATTTAGGTTCAGAGCTAAGGAAATATGGGCTCTGCCCATCCCATCGCTGTCCCTCACCATTCATACCAACCAGCATCACAGCCAGCAAGGATATAACACACCGCCACATGCTCTCCCCCATCATATTTTCCTCCTTGCTCTCTAGAAGACAAGCGCTCCTCTCTCTGGACCAGCTGTAACTGTGACCATCAGGCAATCAGAAGTGACAGGAGCCAAACTCTGGGATATAGTGGCACCATCTCATAAGGCTTGCAGACAATCTCCCACACACACAGGGCCTCTCTCCCTCCCGACTCCCTTCACTCAAGTGTTGCAACTCATGATGATTCCCAAATGAACACGGAAAGCGGGGTTTGCAAAGCCTGGTGAATATAATGTATCCAGATGGGGGAGTTGAGGCTGTATGCCAGGGACAGTACTCTCTTCAATGGCCTCACCTGTGCAGGACCCTCTGCCCTCTGCCCAACAGGCTATGCTAGAGGCTCGAATCCAGGTCTCCTTGGACAAAGAGCTGGTGAACCTGGGCAAGTAGACCCTCAGGGTTCTCCCAAACGGCTATGGCCCTGGTCATGAAGACTGTAAGTGATGTCTTCCCACAGGTCATCCAGTCGGTTCTGCAGCTTGCTCAGGGTCTTGCCACTGTCACCTTGTGGGAACTCAGGGGCAAAGGCGCTGTGACCTGGTGGGGGTGGCGCCAACTGCTGCTGAACTTCCTCTGTCTCCTGGTCGATGGCCTGGGTGAATGCAGCGATCTGTAGGAATGTGTCCTGGCGGAAGGCCTGGAGTTTCTGGCGTACCTCTTCTGAGAGCATCTGGGGATCCGGGCTGGCCCCCTGCTCAGCTCCGTCAGCGCTGGCGCGGACAGATGCACTGAGCTCTTCGCGCAGATGGTCCAAGTTCTGCTGGATGCGCGCGTGCAGGGCCCTGGCCTTGAGCGTGAGTTTATGAGAGAGAGCCTGCACACAACGGCTAAGACGCGCAGGGCTGACGACGGCCGTGTGCGGAGCCACACTGCGGTGCAGCTCCTGCACATGGCGCCCAATGCCCGTTACCAGGCGCTCGGCGTATGGGTGGAAGAGCTCTTTGACTCGGCCAGTGTGGTGCAGTACACTACGCTGCATCTCCTGCATCCGGCTCAGCACTTCGTCGACACCCCCCAGCAGCTGGGCTTTGGTGTCTTCTCCCACCACGCGCAACTTCTCCTGCAGTTCCTGCGCGTGCAAGGCCACCTGCTTCATCAGCTCCATGGTGTAGGGCTTCAGCTGCTGCCTCAACCCCTCCAAGTTCCAGCCCACAAGCTCATGTACCTCCGCCATGTAGGGCTCCAGGCGCGCCCTAACCTCCTTCAGCTCCTCCTGTAGCTGCTGCCTCATGTCTGCTGGGTCCTGTGTCAGCAGAGAAGGCTCTTTCCCCTGCCCACTCAGCGGGGCCAGCTTTTCTAGTAATTTGTTCATATTGCTGAAGTCTTGTTCAAGGCTGTCTTTCAAGCTCCTGGGGAAGGACACAGACATCCATGCCATCAGTCTACTAGCCCCAGTCATCCCCTTTTCACCAGACATGGCATACTGATGATGGTCTGCAGAAACCAAGGAGTAAGGGCTGTGGCCCAGCGGTTCTAGTCTTAAACCCCAAACCACTGCAACTCCTCACACACAAAGCACAAACATGTTGTACTTCCTTTGCAAGGAAGTGTTACAAGTGCCAAGACTCTCATATCCTCCTGATGTTCTGGGACTGCTGAAAGGTTCCTCTCCATTGATCTCAGGTCCCTTGCCTCCCACAGTTGGCCTGGCTATACTGATGGCAAGGCCAGGATTCGAGCTGGGGTCCAAGGATGTTGGAACCCAAGACCACTGGAATTTGCAGGCAAAGCAAGCCCTGGAATCAGGGGCAGTGCATCATTCCATAGCCCATACCCCTTTTCCTGGTCACTCACGTGGGCTCCCGTGCCAGCTTCTGCTGTTGGATCTGCTCCATCGTGCCTTTGTCCCTGCTTCTCTGGCTGAAGTAGTCCCAGATGCCTTTCCGTGCCTGAGTAGCTGAAAACACTGCAAAAAGGGGTGGGATGATTAGGGGCCAGGTTCTCCTCCCTCATGGGGAGGTCCCTCAGTCCAGCCTTCACCCACACCCCTACTTTGAAGTCTGGTTGGAGACCCACCTGAGAGGAGGACCAGAGCCCAGGTGAGGACTGCAGCCATGCTGAGATTATGGACTCTTGACAAGGAGGTGAATGGAAGCCTGGTCAGGGTAAAGAAGAAAAGGAAGGGACTTGTTCTAAGGGGCTCCCTGTCCCAAATCCTATTAACTCTTCCCTGAGCTGTGGGGAGCAGAGCTGTGGTTGGAAAGGACCAATCTAGATGGATCAGGGAGGCTGGGAGGAAAGGGTGTATAACTCAGACATTTCTCACTTCAGTCACATAGTAGGGAGTATGGAGCTCAACACCCCTGCACAGTTCCCCCACCACCATCATCCCCAGATCCCAGCCTCAGAAGCAGCTCCCAGCTCCCTCATTCGCTGTCTCCCTCACTTCCTGTCTTCATGGCTGGGATGACTGAGGCATACCCAAGGGGGAAGAAGTCACTCTGCCAAAGGGCTGAGGAAGATGTCCTAGTTCCTACTTCATACTCTCTCCTGAGGCCTCCTGCTATCCCCTCCCTCAGGACTCTGATCCTCATCCCTCTGCTCCAGCTGCTCACCTGCTCAGTTCTGGGCACAGGGAGCAGACATTCTGCTTTATAGTCTAGGGGCCTGGACCTGTGGCAACAATTGCTTTAAGTAAATACCACGTGGAGGTTCAAAGAAGGATGACCTCAGCTACCTCCCAGCTTGCCTCAGGTCTTTTCCCTGGCACCCAGAGAGTTAATGGGTCCCTGGAATCGGGATGCCCCAGTAGAGGTGCTTCCTAGAATGCTAAGAGTGGGGCTGAACTCACCCAGTTTCCCCCAAAACCTATGACCTGCAGCCGCCCACTGACCTGCTGGCTGGCCCACCAACAGATTGGCTATTTGTCTGCCAAGAGCCCTACTCTTACTCAACTACACAGAGACTCTGTGCCCCAGCTAGCCAGCCAGCCAGGGACAGGGTCCAGCTGCTGGCAGAGCCTGAGCATCTCAACAGCTCCCCAACAGGCTACTCAGGCAGCTAGAAAGAGCCAGCATTTATGGGATTAAAGACCCTCCCATCTCTCAATTTTTGAAATAATCCTTAATCTAGCAGTCAGTGATATCTGGGCCAGGGACTCTGGGCCTAAGGGATTAGAACAAGAGAAGGACTTTCCCCATGGGGAAGGCTGAACTCCATCCTTGGGCCTTTGAGGAGGGGAATCCCAGAAATCTAGATCTTTCTCTATGACAAACTCCCTCCATATATTTATACACACCCATTCCTAAATTCCTCCTTTTGTCCCTATTTTTTTTTTTTTTGAGACAGGGTCTCACTAATTGGCCTGACTTCACGCTCATCATCCTCCCACCTCAGCCTCCCAAGTAGCTGATACTGTAGGCACACCACCACCACACCCAGCTGTAAAAGTATCCTGAATTGATCCTCTCTTATCCATTCCCATCATTGTCATAGCCCCAGTTGTCTCTCACCTTGGTCTCATTCATAATACCCAGTGGGTCTTTCTGCAACAGTCCTGTGTATTCAATCCATCCTCTCCCGTGCTCATTTTGACCCACCTCCAGTCTGATCTCCTGCCACACAGAGTCTTGGCCTTTGCTGAGTATACCACCTCTTTCCCAAAAGAGGTGAGCCTCTGTGCTTGCTGTTCTCTCTGCTTGAAATAGCCTATATCCCAGGGAATAATTCACTTTCTTCAGATTGACTTTGTATTTAGGATTAGGCTCAGGTGCAAATGACCAACAAGGATAAAAGGAAAAACAGAATAGCTCAAACAAAATGGAATTTTATTTCTCCATAATGTAAATTAAGCCAAGGACTGCTTCCATTTTGTTGCACTGTCATCCTCAACAAGAGATTCCATGTCCAAGTTCCAGCTCCAGCCATAAAATCCACCGCCCAGTCAGCAGGAAATAAGAAAAGAAGAAGGATGTGCTCCTTCCCATTAAAGTCACATCTCAGATATTGTTCTTACCACTTCTACTGGCATCTCATTGGCTGGAACTTAGTCACATGGATACACTTAGCTAAAAAGGAGACTGAGAAATGTATCCTCTGGGTGACTCTATTCTCAGCTGAAAGAAAGTTTTATTATCCAGGAAGAAGAGAAGGATGGATACGGGGACAATAGGAGTCCCTGCTGCACAGTTCCAATATCTCTTCTGTCTTGACCCTTCCCTGCTCTGGAGACAACTGATTCCGTACTAATCACATTTTACATATTCCTGTGCTACAGCACTTATTATTTTGTAGTGCAATGATTTGTTGAGGTGACTGAGAGTTCTTTGAGGGCAGGGAATTTGTCTAATTCATCTCTATATCCCCTACTCTGTTTGGCATAGTGCCCAATACATAGAAAGTTGTTCATCTTATTGATTAAGGAACTGAAGTTTGGGTGGGTTAAGTGACTTTCCCATCATCACACGGAGAGAGGTGCAACCAGAACTGGCATCCTGGTGTTTGGCAGCATAGGACAGGAGAAGATGAGCCTTCCAATCACCCATCAGACAATTGCAGGCCCAAGTGAAGAGTCAGTGTTTTCAGCAAAAGTGGCCCTCAGGTCCCTGGAGAGTAACCTAGACAGCCATTATCATCATAACATAGCAAAACTTGTGGGAGACTAATAATGTATGAACTCCAAAATTATGCTTTTTAAGTCAGATAAGACAAATGAAGCTGGAGGGTGTGTTTAAGGTTTTCTCCTGTAACACCTATACTTTTTCCTTTCCAAAGAGTGGAAACAAAGAACTACGAGATGGCACCATTGCAAGAGAGAGGGTCTAGGTTCTGAGCTAGTGCTTGGAAGAACACTTCCTACCAACCTGTGTCAGACTTTTCAGAATGAAAAATAAACTTCTATTTTGTTATGCCACTGAGATGTGGAGATTTATTTGCTATTATTTTTAGATTAACTTATCCCCATTAACACAGAGCCTAAAAGAGAGCAATAAGAGAAGTAGAAGTATAATAATAAAAGAGAAATAAGAGAGACATAAGCAAGGGTATTCATTAATTATAAATTCAGCTCTGAGCAATACCCAAATTAACAGTGGATTAGAAATCAGAAGTTTATTTTTTTTTCTGTTAAAAAAAAATCCATGCCAGTATGGCAGTGCAGCATTGCTCTACAAAGCTATAAGGACTCTCAATGCCCTCTGTCTCGAGGCTCTACCATCCCTGTGTGTTGTCTTCATCCATATGACCAAAGGCAACTTACCACTGTGTCCATATGTAGCCACTAGGAAGGGGGCAGGGAGTGTACTTTTCTTTTTTTTAAAGGGCAAAATTTTAAGTTCTCCCATCTGGCTAGTCAGAAGCAGTCACACTAGCTGTAAGGGATGCTGGGAAATATCATCTTTACTGTGAATGGCTCTGAGCCCAGTGCCCAATTAAAACTCAAGGATTCTGCCCTCATACATTGCTCGTGGGACCATATAAGTTGCAGCTGTCTGGGAAAATAGTTTGGTGACTATTTAATGGTCAATCAAGAAGTTATCCTATCACCCAGCAAGTCCACTTTTAGGTCTAATCTAAGAGCAACAAAAACACACATCTACAAAAACTCACACATGAATGATTCATGGCAGCATGATTCATAATAGTCCAAAAAATGGAAACAAAATGCAGTATATCCATATATTGGAATATTATTTGGCAATAAAAGGGAATGAAATACTGAAACCTGCTACAGCATGAATGGACCCTGAAATCATGCTCAGCAAAAGAAGTCAGTTAATTACAAAGGACCACATGCTGTGTTATTCCATTTATATGAAGTGTCCAGAAAAGACAAATCCGAAAAGACAGAAAGTATATTCACGGTTACCTAGGGCTGAGAGCAGATGTTTAGTAGGAAATGGGAGTGTGGTGATGGTAAAAAGATTTTTTGTGATGATAAAAATGTTCTTAACTTAGGTCATAGTGATAGTTGTACAAATCTGTGAACAAGCAAAAGAAAATACCATTGCATTAGCATGAATTTTATGGTATGAGTATTATATTTCAATAAAGATGTTTTGAAAATTAGAGATTCTATAACTGAGAAAGAAGATGAGAATAGAGATACAAGGAAGCATCTCTGACATGCAGCCTCAGCCACACCAGGAAAGAAAGGTGTCAAGAGTGAGGAATTAATGACTCCCACCATGGTAGATGGAGCTATGTTGAAGTCATGTTTTCAGATCTTTTCTGTCTCTACTCTTTATTTTTTTACAGTCCTGATATGGAACCCAGGGCCCTGCCCATGCTAGATAAGCGCTCCACCACTGAGCTACATCACTAGCCTACTTTTAATTGTATTTTGAGTCTTGGTCTCTCTAGTTGCCAAGCCTGGACTCCAACTTGCAACACACCTACCTCAACCTCCCTAGAAGCTGCAGTGACAGGCATGTGCCACCACACCCAGCTTCTCTATCTCTAGACTTATAAGAAGCATTCCTGGTTACTTCATATCTGTCATAGTTCAGATTTGTAATATCTCACAAAAAGCTGGGTCCTCAAGGCAGTAATGTTCAGAGGTGGGGCCTTGGGAAAGTGATTCGATCATATGCCTTTGTAATTTAATGGATCTTTGACGGGGTGGGCAGTTGAAAAAGGAGGTGGGACTCAGAGACAGTAAGTTCATATCCTTGAAAAATATCTTGTCCCTGGGCTTATCCCCTATGACTCTCTCTATATATTTCCTGGCTTCTATAAAGTATCTGTGGGGGGCCACCCATGAGCAGTATTAGGAGCCTCTCTCAGCCTTGAGCCAAGGGGGTGTTGGTCTGGGGTTGGTCTAGGCCTCAACCTTCACTGGGAAAAGAAGTCTGCTTTCTCAGAGCTCTGGACCTGGGCGTTACTCATTGGGGCTAGGTCAGCCCACCCCTGCCTTATTTGGTGAAGAACATTCTATCAAAAGTCCTTTGTTAATTTCCTTATAAATAAAGGGATTCCAGGTGCATGCTCTCTCTTTCCAGAGTGGAAACTGACCCTTAAGGTCAAAGAGCCATTCTGCCCTTGATTTGATTATTTATTTTTATGTAGTTCTGGGGATCAAACCCAGTGCCTCATGCATGCTAGGTGAGTGCTCTACCA